ATTAAAACATCTTAGGTCTTGAGGCTGCCAACTTTCAGAATGCAACTTATACTTCAGCTCTCCTGATTCTCGGGTCTTTGTAGTTGGACCAGAACTGTATCATCTGCTCTCTTGGCTCTCCAACTCACCAACTACAAGTCTCAGGCCTTCCTAGCCTACTGCCTAACACAGATACCAAATCTAGATAACTGAGAACCACAGGTGCTGTAGTCCTGGCTAAGCAGAGACTCTGAAGAAGGGTGAGTGCTGTAAACAGAGGGCCACCCTTTAGGACTTTTGGAAAAGCCGTGGCTACCAAACCAGTCCCTAGACAGCAGTAATAGGTATCTGAGAGCAATATCTAATCATTTATTTTCCTCCTACAGGGCCATTAAAGCTAATTAAATGTTGAGCTTCGTTGCTTTCCAGCCATAATTACTTCAATTCAGTGTGGAAACATCCATTTTTCTAATACTGATCAGAAATTGTTAATGCCTGTTATATATGTTCTCCATAAAGAAAAGGGAGAAGATGGAATATTCTTCAATAAATGTAGTTTCATAGATGTAAACATCTCCAAACATGAGCTCCATGGGGAAGAATTAAAATATCAATTTTATTTCTGCTCTAACCTTGATCTTTAAATCAAGATAGCTCATCAGAAATTTGCATACTTTACTTTGCAGTACAACCTGCTCTGAGCCACAGTTTAGTGTTACATCCTAGGATTTTATGTAGCTTCTAAGAAGTGACCATGCAAAGAACACTCCAGTTCTTCATATTGTTCATATCCATGATGGTTAATCGTGTCAACTTGATTGGACTGAGAAAGGCTGAGGAAATGAGGGATGCACATTTCTGGGAATGTATGTGAGGGTGTTACTAAAGATGACTGGGGTGTTGGACAGCCAACTAACCAATAGGTGGGAACCCTGATAGAACTAAAAATGAAACGAGGAACAATGAAACAAGGAAGAAGCCCATGGAGCCTCTCTCTCTCTCTCTCTCTCTCTCTCTCTCTCTCTCTCTCTGTCTCTCTGCTTCACCTCAGGCCTAAAAGCAACAGAACTTACTGACCATGGACTGAAACCTCTGCAACCATGAGCCAAAATAAACCTATCTTTCTTTAAGTTGTTACTGTCAGATATTTTTTTCACAGGGACAAAAAACTGGCTAATATAATGCCCTTTACATTAGAATTATACTTTATTAAGGTGTTCAGGTAAACACCTGTAGTGCCAGAAACGTGAGATGCTGAGGCAAGAGGATCACAGGTTTGAGCCAAGCCTGAACAACTTAGTGACTTAGTAAGACTCTGCATCAAAATACAAAATAAAAAAAGCCAGGGGTATACAGCTCAGTGCAAAGACTGTGGTTCCATCCCCAGTCTCAAAGAAAAAAGAAAAAAATCAGTTGTTTATTTCTGTAGATAGTATCAGCCAAGGTCCTTCATGCCCAGACTATCAAGAGGCTCAGAATGAAACCTTGTCTCCACTGTACCAAACACTGTTACATCAATTTCTATCATTTCCCAGCTCTTCCTGTTCCCCGTTATCTGATTCTTTTTTATCTTCCCTTTGTAAAAGTAATCCTTTGTATTCATTTTTTAATTGTAAATCCACCTCGTTTCGTTTTGAAAAATAGACTAAGGGGGTTGGGGATTTAGCTCAGCAGCATAAGCGCCTGACTTGAAAGCAGGCAGTTGTGAGTTCGATCCCTGGTACTGATAAAAAACAAAAAAGCTACAAAAAAAAGAAAAGAAAAATAGACTAAGATATAAAGCAAGTAAAGCCAGATTTATGAGGACAGAGACAATCATAGAACCCAAAGTCTCCACTAGCCAACTCAGGTGTCTTCCTGGACACAGGAACATTCAAGCTCTCCCTGTCATACATTGGACCAAGCACTCTGTCCACTGGCTTTCCCAGGGATTGTATTTCAGAACTCACACACAGGGCCCCAAGGACCTGCTCCTGAGGAAACAGAAATTCCCCAATACACACGCTAACAGCCACCTATGCCTGGCTCTCCACAGACTCTATGTCTGGGGTTGTGGCTACCTAGGAAAAGTAAAAGGACCAGGCCCATTTATCCCAGTGTGGCAGAAGGTAAAGAAAAGGGAAGAGTAAGAAGGAACAGTCAACCCCGTGCCGTCCATGCTGCCCTCTACACATTGCTAGGAACAGTAGTAGCAACAGTAATAACAGCAGTTAGCTGGCACTGTACCCACCTCTGCAGCAGGCATTCCACATGTACCACCACCACTGCCTACCACAGCCCCACAGTATCCATTCCTGTAATCTGGGAGGTTGGTAAGCTCAGAGCTAGCTTTCTTACAAAGACAGGATTTGCAGGAGGTTAAGAGCTCCTACTTAAACAAGCTGAATGAGCACAAGCTGAAGTCCTTACAGGCTCCCAGGGAAAGCAAACAAGACTTGCAGTATCACTCACTATTAATATTGGCTACAATGCTCTCCTAGACTGCACAAAAGTAATATTCACTCATCCAGGGCACATCACTTCTTCCAAATTTAATGGTCTCTGACTGGATTATCACGTTTTTGTTGACAAGAAAGTTTTCTTTAATAGCCTCAGATATCAGCCATTCCTGGCTCTGTCTCGTCTAAGGGATTGCGGAATGTGAAGGTTGGGTGGGGTGACCATTCACATACACAAATGCATGAGAAATGCATGGGACTGATCACCATCTAGAAGGGCCGTCTTGGGAACAAGCAGAGATGAGAAGGCATCTGCCCAACAGTACCCATTCCAAGCTTTCTGGGCTGCTCAGAGGCTTCCCAACCCCCACCCCCACCCCTTCAGCACGGATGTTGTGTGTTCTTCTCACACACTGGCTTTTCTGTTGTTGTTTTTGGAAAACAAATGCTTCCTTCCAAGATTCCTCTCCCAGTTAATATCTGTGCTCAGGACTCCACGTCCCTGGACGCATTACGATGGATTTGTCCAGATTTGAGATCTCGACTTCGTGACTTCCTCCCCATTTTCCCTGTCTCTCTGGACTCTACTGGGTTATGATCCAAGCCCACACTGGCCTGGAGGATGCTTACCTCATCTCGTGCCATGGCTCATTCTTCCTCCACATCCCCACCCCCCCTCGCCTGTAAACATGGCTTATTACCATTCAATGACTTCCCAACCCCATTAAAAAAAAGGATAAATGCCACTGGGCCCAACACTGGCCCTTCACAGTCTCATCCTCTTGCCTTACCCCTCTCGCAGTGTGAGACCAAGGGTTAACCCCCACGTCACCCATGGGATCAGACTCTCAGATTAATTTTAACAAACACATGCATCCAAACACAGCATAACAAGTAATATCCTCCTTGTCTGCTTATAACACCCCTGTGAGGTCAAGTACAAGCCACTGCATTCTGCAAATACAAAGAGGAGAGGGGCCATGTGGCTGAACCTAAGGACAGATGCCAGAATAGTCCACCTGTGTCAAATCTGGAACCCAGATTTCTGTTCTCTACTGCCTATAGGAGCACATGGCGCAGCCTCCCCTGGGCTCCCTAACCCACCACACTGAAAGGCAGGGATCAACGCAGGTGTCAACGCCTGCTCTGCAGCCTGGGTCTGTGCACTTTTCCTGTCGCCCTGTGACTTTCAACTCCCCAAGATACTGGGCTGCTCAGTAGCCCCCCATGTCTCTCAAAGACTGCACAGCAGGAGCTGTCAGTGCTGGCTGCCTCTGCAGTCAGGAAGGAAGTGGAGGGGAGGATTAGGAACTGCAAATACACATAATAATGCACAAGGAAACAGACACCATAACAAATGTCTCATTTCCACAGCAGTCGTTAGGAAGTAGATTCTAACAATCACCCTCTTTGAAAATACAGCAGGAATTAGTATGTCTAAGGAGGAAACTGAAGCTCTCAAATAGGAAACAGCATCCTCAAATCACAGTTAAACCATGCAGAACCAAGGCTAGAAGTCTATTCTAAGGCAGGAAACCCAGAGATGGGCACTTTGTAATATGACTTTGCCCAAGTCAATTGACTACAAATTCAAGATAAGTCCTGCCTATGCCACAGAAGGTAAATTACAAATGTCTAACATGTAGGGCCCCTGAGCCTTGCAGGCTCATTTGTCACTGATACAAAACTAAAATATGCTCTAAACGTCTGAGCTCATGAAAGGACAAAGCAGAGGCCAGAGGGACTAGAGTATAGAAAGTACCAGAATCAGAAGGTATCAGACAAACAAAAGGTGTGAAAGTCCAGTCGCATGTGCAAAGAACACAGAGGAAGCCTAGAGGAGGGAGGCACAAGGGAGAGAGAAAGCAAAAAGGAAAGAATTCACTGAAAATGGGTCATGTAGCCAGGAGCCTGGGAGACTGTCCATTGTTGAGGAGGAATAGAAGTCCAGAACAAAGATGGTGTCCACATTTGAGGGCAGTGGTATTAGAAATGAGAACCCTAAGACTAGGAGATGGAGAACATCACACTGCAACTGAAAGACAAAAGATTGGTGTGGTCCTTGTGGACACTTCTGGTGTGCAGCTCCCGCAAATTTATTGCTTTTTGTTAGCAACATGTTTGTGGCTAATATTCATATCTGGAAACACATTCATTTTGACCATCTTCATAAATCGATTAGAATAGAACCATCTCCCAATCATATTTGGTGCTGTTTTCTCTGTCCACTGCTGACCAAGTCAGCATGCTTGCTGTCAGTTCCTCTTGCTATATTCACTCTGATGTTGTTGGGACCCCAAGAAAAGTGGGAAAGAAAGTGTAACAGACAAATGGGAGGCTGGAACCTGGTAGTGTTTGGCTTTTCAGGAAGCCCATCACAGGCAAAGCTCTGAAGTGGAAGGCTCTCCTCCCACCCTGCTCCTCCCTGTCCCTCCCACCTCAGGGCCACATACTTTGGATCCCCTGGGAGGTGAATGTTATTATAATTCTGCAAAACCCACATCCCACTTGGCCCTATTCCCCAAAACTCTGCATCCGTCCCACCCTTGGGATGCCCAGAACCCAGGAGAAACATGGTCATACTTTCTTGGTGGGAACTTTGATCTTCAAAAATTCTGCCTCTCTGGCCAGCACCTGCCACGGGGCGTGTATCCGGACAAAGATGGATCCCTGGCTTTTACCCTGCAAGGTACAAAGAAAGAAGAAATTGAAACATTTGTAAGGACATCGTTTAAATTTCCAGTTCCCTGACTCTGAAAGCCCAGACTTGTTGCTTCAATTTCTGGCTCTTGTTCCCTTTCAGCTTCACTAAGAATCAGTTCCCACCCATACCCAATCTATTCGTTCCGTTCTAGAAGTTCTGTCATCTAAAACCATGATAAGTTAGTGCTCTCAAAATGTTTTCTCTGAAGTGGCTTCAGAAGAAAAAAATTTCATAGATTTGAAACTAAACAAATATAACGTTCATAAAATTTCATCATATTTTAGTAACCATTGGTCAGGTGAGCACTGCTACCACTGAGCAAAAAAATGTGTAACTTGTCATGTGTTTTTACTGCTCATTGTTCAAGTTTCTATTTTCATGCAACTGTCGTACTGTGTTGTAGTCCCAAATCACAACAGTGGCTTTTCTAAACCTGAGGAGTGATATAAATAATAATGCAAATAACACAACCCCAAATAACGTCAAAAACATAAATCATGACCAATGTCCAGTGTGAACACGGAACGTGAATCTTGTCCCAGGACAAGTGATTTTGCTGTATGTTGATGAAATGAAAAAATGAGAAAGGAAGGGAAGGGAAGGACATGCAGTAATAAGTAAATTACATTTTATTACTTTAGCACTCTATTTGGACTGAGTAGCGGGGTCTGTTATAAATATTTGGCAGATCACAATAGGGATTCATCCCCATTTTCAAGTAACACTTTGGTTAAACTCCCTAGAAAATTAATCACAACTACTGTGTTCAGTGAGAGGACAAAACTAGCTGATAATGTATTCTTTCACTGAGTGACACTTGGGAAGCACATAGAATCTGCACACTACAGCCTTTGGAGTAGGCTCGCACACTGGCCAAGTTGCCTTTGGCATTAAGATGAAGACACCAAGACAGAGTCCCACTTTGCTGCAGGTATTGTGCAGTACGAGAAACGAGGGGTCTCTGAACAGACGTGTGCTTTAAGTACAACGCATGGAGATTATTGCCAAAAAGGCATCGACTCTGTCTGCAGAATCAAGTGCTCCTTTTGAAAATCATTCCCTGGCTTCATTTATAGGCACCAACTTTTTTTCAGTCATCATAGTGCACTCTAGTTTTGGAGCAGTGTTGAAGGTGGCAGTGGAGACCATACTGAGCTCTGACTGTGCATTTCCAGGGTGCCTGGCAGAAAAACAGACAAGCAGGACTGTTTTCCCTCAAAGGACAAAGACTAGGCGTGGACCGACATTCCCATTATAGACTATTTCTCTTTTTAAGCGGTAGGTTCAAAATTGGTATTCAGTAATTTAAACATCTAGAATCTTGCCCCACTTCAGGGATGAAAGTTCATAATTAATAAAGTAGAATGAAGAAGAAGAAAGAAGTAATTCACAAAAAGGTCAAAATGTAGTAAGAAAGAGTCTATAATTTGCAAATTCCTAAAAATAATAATAGCTACCATGTCCTTCAGCAAGAAATCTCTTCACTTGCCATATACAGTTTTGTTTGGCATATTCAGTACTGATAGGCAAAGTCATCAGTCATGTGTCACTATTACTACACGTCATTTAAGCTTTTCTGATTTGGTTAAAATAAAGGATAAGAAAAGAAACCATCTATAAATCTGACCTGAAGCCCCAGCTCTCTACCACGGTCCCAGAAATGATGTTTTTGGTGAAAGATGGCAAGTGGTATCATCTCTCTCACTAAGATGAAATGAAGACATCATTAATTTTAATTTATTATGTTTGTCTTCATTTTTTAATCAGGACAAATGTCTTTTTAACTCTAGCTAGACTTGGTGGTTTGGGTGCATGCCAAATGTCTATTAAGTAGCTGCAGATGTTCCAAGTTTGAGGAAGGGATGGGATTGGGAAGGCAAGGGTCAAATTCCATGGCCTTGGTGGCAGGCTGCTAGCTGTCCTCTGATGGCTATTATGATTTTTTTATTTTAAATTCAGCACACAACCATTTAAAGTCAAGTGTTCATCTCCCTTGCAGTGATTTGGCCATGACAATAATTTCTGCCCAATGTGATGGCAACTAAGTGCCTTTTACCCTTCATCTCAGCCCCTGCCCAACCACCGTCTGGGACTTAGATACACACATTGTAGGCTTTGGGGTCAAAAAGACCCAACAGAGAAATGGGCAAGTGAAATGAATACATTCTTCACAGAAAAAGTAAAAATGCCAATAAATACATGAAGAATTGTTCAACATTTTTGGTCATCAGAGAAAACACGAATTAAAGCAACACTGACAATCTTAAACCAGAAAGAATGGCACCATCAAGAAATCAAATAATACAAATGCTGGCAAGGCTGCAGGGATAAAGGAATCCTTCTGTGTTGGTGGGAGTGTAAACTGTGGGAATCAATATGAACATTCCTCAAAAACCTTAAACTAGGACTGGGAATTTAGCCCAGTGGCACAAGCTCCTGCCTGACAAGTGTGAGGTTGTGAGTTCTATCTCTGGTACCAAAAGAAAAAAATTTTTTAAACTAGAAATTCTATTTGATCCACCCACTTTCCTTCTAGGTATCATCTCAAGAGAGTTAAAGACATCATATTATAGTGATCCACACATACCCATGTTTATAGCAGCACAACTCATAGTAACTGAATCTTGGGAGCAGCCTATATGCCTTTTAAAAGATGAATGGGTAGAAAATTGTAGTATTTAAACACCATGGTTTACTACTTTGCCATAAAGAAAGACAAACATAAGTCATTTGTAGGCAAATGAATGCATTTTGTGATCATAATGTTCAGTGAAACAAATCAGACACACAACTTTAAATATCACATGGTTTTTCTTATATGAGAAACCAAAGTTATAAGTAAAGAGCAAAATAAAAGATAGATAATAGGAACTAGGGCATAGATCTGCCTCAAATGGGAAAGAGATTAAGAGATGGGAGATAAAAGGAAGGGAATGGGATAAAAATGAATTAAGTTGTGTTATATACATGCATCAACTCCACACAAGGAATGCAAACATTATGTTCTGTAAATGGACAAATAAAAAAGACCTCAGATTTGAGATGGCAAAGTGTCAACAGGAAATCTGAGTTTGACTCCATGGAGCCCTGGGCTGCCTCCTTGTTATGTGCAAGATAACATTCTACCTTGTTTAGCCATTATGATTTTAGAGGCTATGTAAGTCTCACCTTACACTGAGGGATGTAAAATTGTTTCCTAATGTACAGATGTTGCTTTTCTCCAGCAAGACAAACTGCTTCTCCATTTTCCCCAAATAAAAAATAAAAGCTGGAATGCATTTTTGTGGAGCTAACATCTAGTCACCGTGTTCCTTTCATGTTGTGCAATATTGTTGCCTCTCATTTTAAAAAGGCATATGAGCTGATGTGAAATATTAGCTGGTGTAACTGACTACAACCCTTAAAGAAGAAAAGAGACACATGGAAGCCCTGAGAAGAACCATCATCAAATGGAGAGACTCCTTTTTCTAATCCAGAATTCTAAGATTAGAAGTTAATGTGTATTTGGTTAAAAAATATTTTTTCCTTCTTCTCTAAGCCCCAAGGATTTCCATTCTCCTGTGTTTCCAGATTTGGATTCTTTCAGGCATGGCAGGAAATGGAAAGACCTGGAGGCTTCCGATTCAGACAGATTAAGGTTTGAATCCTGGATTGCACAGCTGAGAATTTGAGCAAGTGACTTAACCCAAGGAGCCTCCATCTCTATACCTGAATAAGGACAAGGAGAAACATTACTAGACCATTATGGGGGTTAGAAATGCAGTGGGTAAAGGCATCTCTCGAGGCTGGGAATGTTCAATACACATCAGTCGTTACTAAGATGACTCTGCTTCTCAGCCACAGGGACAATATTTGGTTCTTTTTTTGTATCCCCAAGTGCTCAGCATAGGGCAACACCCACAGCAGATCTTCATTGTACAAAACCCATTCCCATTAAATTAAAACTGGTAATAAGTAATCCCAGTTCTTTTACTGCCTTGCATCTTTAAATTATCTACAAGATTTGCAAAATATCATTTGTGCGAGGAAGGAACTCAAGGGTTCAAAATGCTGTGCATCTCTAGAATTCAAGGGTGAGGTCAGAAAATATTATTTTCTGAAACCAGCATGAAATTTAACATAAATTGTCAGAGATTAGCCATCAGAGTAAACAATACATCCTTAAAGGAGATCTTATCAATAAATAATCGATTTGAGTGGAGGGCCTGCCAAATCTCATTAGGCAACAGAATTTTAGTCTGTGTAAAATGAGCTAAAAAATATAATGTTATTCTGTCCAGTATCAAAAGGATATCCTATGCACAGGTGTTTTTGGAGGAAAACCAAGCACATCTATGTGGGACATACAACTACTCAGGGGCAAGAATGTGATTTCCCAGGTTATGATATGTTATGAATTAAAAACTGATGGTCAACTTAACTCCAGCTGAATTAAATCAGCATGGTGCTGAGCTTAGATGTTCCACCTGAGGAAAGTCACCATCATAAATAGAGACATGGAGAAGGGGAAGCTAGGCATTGTGGGTTCTCCTATGTGTTGCTGTTTGAACCGTTGAAGGAGTTCATCATGACTAGTTTCACCAGTGTGAGTTCAACCATTGTCATCAGAGGATCTTGGGACCTTGTTGATGAGAGTGGCTGTGGTTCACTTTAGGGGAGCTCTGGTCCTTACATTGAGCATCACTTCCAGGCTCCGGAGGGAAGACATGTGCTATTTAATCTCCAAGAAAAGCTGACATGCTGGCTTTCTGGTATGTACTCAACTGTTCCTATCATTGGAGGAGCTTAGGGTCTCTGTGTCGCTGAAGATGGCTATGGTACTTTTCAGGACAGCCCTGGTGCTTGTTTTGAGCATGACTTCTCGGCTTCAGTGTAAGACCCTCAACCTATCAGCACAGCTCCTTCACCCTGCTGGCATAGATGTTCTAGCTTCCACTGCTGATCTTCAGACCTACCCAGCATGGATCCATAAAACAGA